CACAGCTCCCATTGGCCACATTTCCCAGCCAATGGGGGCTGCGGAGCCGTTACTCGGGGCAGCGCGTGGAGACCCCCTCCCGCCCAGGGTCTGCAGGGACGTGCCGGCCGCTTCCGGGAGCGGTGCGGAGCCGGGGCAGTTCGGAACCTGCCTGAACCCCGCTGCGCCGCCGGAGTTTTGGCGAGCAGGAGGCGCCGGGCGGGAGCAGGAGGAGTTGATCTGCGCGTCCGCGCACCCGTTAGAGAAACGCTGATCTGGCCCCTCCCTGACAGGGGTTTGTCCAACCTGCTCTTAAACATCCCCAATGACGGCGATTCCACAACCTCCCTGGGCGACTTATTCCAGTGTTAACCACCCTGACAGGTCGGAAGTTTTTCCTGATGTCCAACCTAATCCTCCCTTGCTGCAATTTAAGCCCCTCGCTTCTTGTCCTATCCTCAGAGGTTAATGAGAACAATTCTTCTCCCTCCTCCTTGTAACAACCTTTTATGTACCCGAAACTGTTCTCGTGTCCCCCCTCAGCCTCCTCTTCTCCAGACTAAACACACCCAGTGTTTTCAATCGTCCCTCCTAGCTCAGGGTTTCTAGACCTTGAATCATTTTTGTTGCTCTTCTCTGGACTTTCTCCAATTTCTCCACATCCTTCCTGACATGTGGGGCCCAGAACCGGACCCAATACTCCAGCTGATTCTGTATCAGCGCGGGGCAGAGCGGAAGAATTATTGCTCATGTCTTGCTTACAACACTCCTGCTGATACATCCCAGAAGGATGTTCGCTTTTGTTGCAACAGCGTTACACTGTTGACACATATTTCGCTTGTGATCCACTCCGACCCCAAGGACCTTTTCCGCAGTGCTCCTTCCTATGCTGTCATTGCCCATTGTGTGTGTGCGACTGATTGTTCCTGCCTAAGGGGAGCACTTTGCATTTGTCCTGATTGAATTTCATCCTATTTACGTCAGACCATTTCTCCAGTTTGTCCAGAGCATTTTGAATTTTCATCCTATCCTCCAAAGCACTTGCAACCCCTCCCGGCTTGGGATCATCCGCAAACGTTATCAGTGCCCGCTCTGTGCCATTAGCTGAATCATCGATGAAGATAGTGACCAGAACCGGACCCAGAACTGATCCCTGCGGGACCCCACTCGATTTGCTCTTCCAGCAGGACTGTGAACCACTGAGAACGACTCTCTGGGAGAGGTTTTCCAACCAGTTTTGCACCCACAATAATAGACCGACACACACGCAGTCCCGGACCTTGCAAGAACAGACAAGTTGATCCTATAACAATACAAAAGACCCTACAACAACAAACCAGGACACGGCTCCAGATTCCACAACAACAAACTGGCACCCATAGGGAACCCATCAGTAATTAGCTGGCACATGCAGCCCCAGATATTGCAACAACAGACTAGGAGACCCTACAATAATACAGAAGATCCATATGACAGCAAAGGCACCACACACAGCCTTTATTCTTGTGAGAGACACTATCCTAACAAAGCAGCATTTGTCAGAGCCCGACAACAGCCAAAACACACAACCCTGCCACTTATAAGACCCTACAGAAACAAAGCCACATTTGCTGTTGCCCCAATGTTAAGGCCCAGCTTGACAAAGCCCTGGCTGGGATGATTTAGTTGGGGTTGG